CACACACCAACACACACACACCAACACACACACCACCACACACACCAACACACACACCAACACACACACCAACACACACACACCAACACACACACCAACACACATCAACACCAACACACACCAACACACACACACCAACACACACCAACACACACCAACACACACCAACACACACCAACACACACACACCAACACACACACACACCAACACACACACACACACCAACACACACACACCAACACACACACACCAACACACACACACACACCAACACACACACACACACCAACACACACACACACAAATACACACAAACAAAATTATCCCGGCAAAGCAACCTAACAGCGATGTGTAGGAGCATATATGGAAGCATTCCCCTTAAGATTCAGATAAGAATCCTGTTGTAGAATTCTGCTGTTCTCGCAGTCGTGGTCGCATTCGCGATGGCAGTCGCAGTGGCAACAGCAGTCGCAGTCACAGCCTCAGCCTCAGCCTGCCTCAGCCTCAGCCTCAGCCTGCCTCAGCCTCAGCCTGCCTCAGCCTCGCCCTCAGCCTGCTTCAGCCTCAACATCAGTCTGCCTTCAGCCTCGGCCTCAGCCTGCCTCAGCCTCACCCTCAGCCTGCATCAGCCTCAGCCTGCCTCAGCCTCGCCCTCAGCCTGCTTCAGCCTCAACATCAGTCTGCCTTCAGCCTCGGCCTCAGCCTGCCTCAGCCTCACCCTGCATCAGCCTCAGCCTCAGCCTCAGCCTGCCTCAGCATCAGCCTGCCTCAGCCTCAGCCTCAGCCTGCCTCTGCCTCAGCCTCAGCCTGCTTCAGCCTCAGCCTCAGTCTGCCGTCGGCCTCGGCCTCAGCCTCAGCCTGCCTCACCCTCAGCCTGCATCAGCCTCAGCCTCAGCCACAGCCTGCCTCAGCATCAGCCTGCCTCAGCCTCAGCCTCAGCCTCAGCCTGCCTCAGCCTCAGCCTCAGCCTGCTTCAGCCTCAGCCTCAGTTTGCCTCAGCCTCGGCCTCAGCCTCAGCCTGCCTCAGCCTCAGCCTGCCTCAGCCTCAGCCTCAGCCTCAGCCTGCCTCAGCCTCAGCCTGCCTCAGCCTCAGCCTCAGCCTGCCTCAGCCTCAGCCTCAGCCTGCTTCAGCCTCAGCCTCAGTCTGCCTTCAGCCTCGGCCTCAGCCTCAGCCTGCCTCAGCCTCAGCCTGCATCAGCCTCAGCCTCAGCCTCAGCCTGCCTCAGCATCAGCCTGCCTCAGCCTCAGCCTCAGCCTCAGCCTCAGCCTGCTTCAGCCTCAGCCTCAGTCTGCCTTCAGCCTCGGCCTCAGCCTCAGCCTGCCTCAGCCTCAGCCTGCATCAGCCTCAGCCTCAGCCTCAGCCTGCCTCAGCATCAGCCTCAGCCTCAGCCTCAGCCTCAGCCTCAGCCTCAGCCTGCCTCAGCCTCAGCCTCAGCCTGCTTCAGCCTCAGCCTCAGTCTGCCTTCAGCCTCGGCCTCAGCCTCAGCCTCAGCCTCAGCCTCAGCCTCAGCCTCAGCCTCAGCCTCAGCCTCAGCCTGCCTCAGCCTCAGCCTGCCTCAGCCTCAGCCTCAGCCTCAGCCTCAGCCTCAGCCTCAGCCTGCTTCAGCCTCAGCCTTCAGCCTCGGCCTCAGCCTCAGCCTGCCTCAGCCTCAGCCTGCATCAGCCTCAGCCTCAGCCTCAGCCTGCCTCAGCATCAGCCTCAGCCTCAGCCTCAGCCTCAGCCTCAGCCCTCAGCCTCAGCCTGCCTTCAGCCTCAGCCTCAGCCTGCCTCAGCCTCAGCCTCAGCCTCAGCCTCAGCCTCAGCCTCAGCCTCAGCCTCAGCCTCAGCCTCAGCCTGCCTCAGCCTCAGCCTCAGCCTCAGCCTCAGCCTCAGCCTGCCTCAGCTTCAGTCTGCCTCAGCCTCAGCCTGCCTCAGCCTCAGCATCAGCCTGCCTCAGCATTCAAAGTGTGGCCCGGGAATGGAGTTCTGGGAACTCGAAGAACACGAAATGGCCTACAGTTGGCTCCGG